CGGTTTGGCCACACTTTAATCTAGAAACAGTTAAAAATTTTGGAAAACCTGTTTGTCAGAAATGTGGAACAGTATATGAAAATACTACTGAAGTTTCTACATTAAGAAGACATCTTAAAAACCACCAAATAGAAGCACCTAAAAAAAAGCAAACTACACTTCACATCTATTGGTCAGACCCCCATAATAAACAAGAACAAAAAAAAAGAAATGAAAAGTTAATTTTTTGGTTAATTGTAGATCAACAATCATTTACAATGGTTGAAAATCAATACTTCTGTGAATTTATAAATATTTTAGATCCTTGTTACGTTGTTCCTACTAGACAAGCAGCAAAAAATATGATCATGGATGAATTTTATAAGTGATGTGAAAAGGTTAAAAACTATATTAAGTGTATTCCAGGTAAAATCTCTCTTACTGCAGATATGTGGAAATCATTGGATAACAAAGCATTTTTGGACCTTACGATTCATTATATTAATTCTGATTGGAAGCTTCAGCATTTTTTATTAGATATAGTTCCTTTTACAATTAAACATACAGGTATCAATATATCAGAAGCCATTAGTTGTGTTCTTAGAGAATTTGAATTAAGTAATAAAACTATAGCACTTACAACTGATAATGAATCAGCTATGATAACATGTGGTCATTTGTTAGCAAAAGAGTTAGAAAACGAATTTGATAATATTGGATTCTCTCACTATAGGTGCGTGGCACATGTCTTGAATCTGGTGGCAAAGCAAGGATTGAGAATGGTTGATTTAGCTGTAAGTAAAGTATGACAATTAATGGCAAAAATTAAAGCATCAGTTCATCTTTGTGATGAATTACATACCTTATATGAGTTTAAAGGAATTAGATATCTGAAAGCTGAGCTTGATATGGAAGTAAGGTGGAATAGTACATTTTACATATTACAAAAATTTAAAAATATAGAATTAGCTTTAAATCTTCTTAGTGTTGATAATAACTTGATTGCTGAATTGTATCCTAATAATAACGATCAACAAAATTACAAGTAAGTGAATAATCATATTGTGGCTGAAGCTAGAAATTTCTGTAGCTTTTTGGAATCATTTTTTGATTATAATTCAAGATTAATTTTAATAATTTCTTGCTTCAGCCGTTTTTAGCTTAATCATTATTGCTACAGTATTAAGTTTGAACTATAAAACTAAAATCGTATTAAATATAGGACCTTATAATCTTGTTAGAACCATTAAAAAAAGCTACAAAACATTTATCAGCTGCATCTTACCCAACTCACAGTGACATCCGGTTTGTTTTCATAAGTCTTCAATGGCATCTAGATGTATATATTAAAAAAGAAAAATTTTCTCAAAATAATGTAGCTACTTCTATGAATAAAAAATTAGTTAAATATTAGGAAATAATGAATAGCTCTTCGATAGTATCAGCGGTTCTTGATCCATGTACTAGACTTAAAATTTTTAATGATATTATAGAACAAGAAAATGCTATTAATTTAACTCATCAAGCTTTCAATCTCTATAAGTCTCAACTTAAACCATCTGTACCAT